ATGAAACTGTCTGAGGCAAGACATCTATTCTCACTGATGCGGAGCAATAATGAACAGAGTAAATAATGGCCTCAGTGTTTCTGTGATTTGAAGATAAACGGGTGATTTTTGTTTTAACAGTTTCTCCGGGAAAACCTTCCTAGATAAGGATCTCTCTGCAACCTGTGGTCAGTCTGGTTCAGTTGGTAACGCTCTCTCATGTCTGGCTCACAGAGATTGTGGGTTCCAACCATCACAACGGTATCTTTGAGGTGCTTCGAGACGTCTCAAAGCGCTTCACAGAATACACTGTAAAAAAAANGTGAATTGACTGAATTTTGTGGGCGAAACGCGGCAGCCAATTGCGCACAGCAGCGGCCCCACAAACAGCCGTGGACTGAGTGACCGAATTATCATTATTGTTGCAAATGCAAATGGAAGGATCTTTATTTATTATTATTATTAATAATAATAATTATGACTATTATCACCCCAATGCAGGTCTGTTGTGAGACTGAACCCGCTGTACTGCTCTTTCGCACTCCCTTGGTGTGACACATTAAAGTGCTGTGTTACAGCTGCTTACAGGGGGGAGAGGGGAGGTGGTGGGGGGGGATTTGCAATTTGGATTTCATTAGGAGCTGCTCTTGATTTAAAGGCCACACGTACATCATTTACATAATTTGATATTTTGCAAGCGAGCAACAGTTTTAACAGATTAATTGGCCTGAAGGCAAGCTGCCGTCTGCCTGCATAAATGGAGCCAGGGGAGTGGAAGGCCGAGTAAAGCAAACAAACAGGTGTGTGTGAGACGCAAGGGATCGGCGAGGTTCAGGGCACCTCATTGCCTCTCTCGCCTCACGCCTCGCACCTCCCTCCCTCCATCTGTCCAAAAGGCTGTGGATGTCGGACACATAATCCTTGCATTTGATATAGCGCCTTGTCACGCAAAAGCGAGTTGAGACGCTTAAAAGGCGCTTCACAGGATATACTGTAAAGTGGAGTGACTGCGTATTTTGCGGTCGAAACGCGGCAGAGCCCATTGCGCGCAGCGACGTCCCCACAAACAGTCGTTCCTGTTCCGCGAAAAAAAAAGAGAAAGGTGAGGGTGAGCGAGGGAGGGAGGGAGGGAGGGAAGGAGGGAGGAAGAGGTAAAAGAAGAAATAGGAGACTGTGGGGTATGTCAGCCTAACTCAGGCTCAGCTCAGTTTGCTCAGCTGAAAGTGCTGGGTTGATAAAGATCAACCAATTGTTATGGATTCAGCGTCTTGGCCCGAACGGACTCGACACCTGACAGCCCTTCGCCGAGGGCTGATTACATTCGATTTAAGATGACTTGCGTTGTCGTCTCAGGGAGGTGGGGGAAGGTGGGGGGGGGGGGGGAAATTCCTTTTGACGAGAGATTGAAGGTGGCAGCAATTTACTCAGCCACACTCTTTCATCTCCTGCATTTTTTTTTCTCTCTCGCATTACCTCCCACCGAAAGCTGGTCAGATCAATGGGATCACGGCTGACAACAGCTCCAGATAGTTCCCCTTGGCAACGCAAAACAACTTAACGGGGACAGGGAGAACCAGAGAGAGAGCGAGAGAGACAACCTCCCTTGATTTTTGCCAATTAGCCGAGGGTTGGTAACGCCTGTGAGAAATTCTGCCCAGAATTTAATAAATATGATATAATAATAATAATCCCTGCATTTGATATAGCGCTTTATCGCGTCTTCGAGACGCCTCAAAGCGCTTCACCGGATGTACTGTGAAGTGTAGTGACTGTACTTTTGTGGGCAAAAACGCACAGCAGAGTCCCACAAACAGTCGTGGATTGAGTGACCACAATATTTTTTTAAATGTTATTTTTTTTAAGGGATTATTATCATCATTACCTCCAGAAAAGCGATCCGCCGATCGACTAACAACAGGGTTCCTGCTTGCTGGTAGGTAACCCTGTGCGTGGAGTAAGGAAACTTGCCGAAGGTTTCGCCCCGACCTGCCCAGGAATCAAACCCAGGTCATCTCGCTTGCGAGGCGAACTCTCTAAACACTAAGCTGCGGGTCCACGGCTTGATGTGATCAAACACGAGGACTATTATGTGGCGAATCACTGGTGACCGGAGCACAAGGTCGCACGTGGTCACATCAGACAGCGACTGTGCTATTGACAAACAAAACCCAGGGTCCCTGGAGCCTCAGAGAGGCAGCGTCAGTCAGTCAAGTGGACACTCGAGCAAATTGCTGGAGAACTAACACATCGCATCAGCCGCCAGCAGCTTCCCCCAAGCTTCCCAGCTAAAAGGGAAATCACTTCAATCCATCCGCCTCCTAATTACTCGCCTCGCTAATTATTCGCTCGTTTACCATCCCGCTGTCGCTGCTGCAGAAGCCAGAGCACTGCCTAGAGACATTTTAACAAGAAGCCTATTTAAAACTTCCTCTTGAAATTGGTTAGAGAAAAAAAATAGGCTTTCGAGTAAACATTACAACATCAGCTGGCTGACTCTTTAGCTTGGCTTTGAATGCTCCTCGGAATATTTCTGCCCCCCCCCCCCCCCCCACAACAGACGCGCACACCCCTGCCTGCACAGAATTAGTCGAGTCCGGTACGCAGTGGTTAGCACACTCACCTCGCAAGCGAGAGGACCCGGGTTCGATTCCTTTTTCGTTTCCTTACTCCACACACACACACACACACGCGCGCGCGCACGCCTCTCTTTACTCAGCAGTAAGTAGGAACCCGGTTGTTGGCGGTTTGATTTTCCGGGGGTAATAATCTCTCCAAAAAACCCCCCCAAAAATACACTCAATCCACTACTGTTTGTGGGGACGCTGCTGTGCGCAATTGGCTGCAGCGTTTTGCCGACAAAATATACAGTCACTCCACTTTACGTTGTATTCTGTGAAGCGCTTTGAGACTTCTCAACAACGTGATAAGGTGTTGTATCAAATGCAAGGATTATTATTATAATATTCTCCCTCCCCTCCTTTCCCATTTGCTACCTGTGGATCAGACATAATAGAGCCCTCTTTGTGCTTTTCTTATTGATTAATCACAGTGAGCTCATTCCAACTCACACGCTGATAAGGCTGAGCGATCACTGGTATCACAGTGAAGGGTGATCACCTTCTCAGGATGGAGGTTAGTTCTCAGATGTCCTGTTGGGCCAGGATATAGCAGAGCCGTTGCATTAGATCGGAGATAAGGCACCCGTCTAAATTCTCACTCTCTCTGTGTCTCTCTCCGTCTCTCTCTCTCTGTGCGCTAATTAAAACTGTCAACACAGTTGGCACGATAAGGATTCCACTTGACGTAATTCCTGTAATAAGCATTAACTCTGCAGGCCTCAGCTCCAGTCTGTAACACTATCTGATTCCACGTTGGTCAGAACAACATAAGAACATCATAAATTGCTGGGCGAGTGAAGACTAAGGTCCATCCAGTTCACCTTCCTGGCAGTCGCTTGCAAACAGCAGTGACGTCTGTCTTTGGGGGAAGCTTCCTTCTCTTTCCCAATAGTGTGGGGAGATCTTTGGATATCAGCAGAAGAGGCACAGTCAGCGCCCGGCTTCACTGTGCCAGTTTGCAGCTCGCAAAATCCGTGGCGATGATTATGGCGTGGGTGAGAATTGTGGTGTTCGGGTGTTTGCGGTGTGGTTGGGGTGGAGGGTATGAGAGGCCGCAGACTGCTGGCTCCTCCTCTGGCTACGGTTGTGGGTTGAAGCCCCCCACGTCGGTGACTGAGTTCACAGTCCAGGGTGACCTTCCAAAGCAGTGCTGGAAAGCGATGGGTTAATATTTGGTGGGAAGAGAGGGAGGGAGGGAGGTAAATCAATTCAGCTTATGCTTAATCCTAATTGATAGGTGACCCAGTTTAGCAAAGGTCAGGAAGGGTCAAAGCAGGTCGTTGAAGACGTACTGCTTTAACACTAACTTCTGCCAGGCAGTGCCTCTGAGTCAGTGGGTCACGGGTTCGAGCCCCAACGTCTAGGACTCTGAGCTCACAGGCTGGCCTGACACTCCAGCACTGCGTTGTCAGAGGAGGTGCCTTCCTTCAGATAAGACGTTAAACCCAAGCCTTGATTCCTTAGGCAAGTTTCCTTACAGCCCCACACACACACACACACACACACACACGCCTCTGTTTACTCAGCAGTAAGTAGGAGCCCAGTTGTTAGTCGATTGGCGGATCGCTTTCCGGGGGCATTAATCCCGACCTCCCATCCCCAAAATTGGATTGTCAAGTGCAGTGTGGGTCTGTGACTGGGCCTCGCTCCCACCCCACCCACCACCAGCCCCCGGGGGCACGCAGAACGAGGACTTTGCAAATCATTTAAGTTGTTAACATGGAACCCCGCAGCTTGACATTTCGTCACTGTTTGCTCGGTCTAACCTGTGCCCCACTGGTATTTGTGCATCGCCTCTCCCAGGAGATCAGCAGAATCTACTGGGACAGAGATGTGCTTGTGACAGCACAGCAACTCTTTGCCTTATAAGAGCCCCCTGGGACTAGAGGAATAGCTAAGGAGGAGGTCATTCAGCCCCTCGAGCCCGTTCCGCCATTTTATTAGATCACGGCTGATCCCAGTGTTAAGGAGCTTAGGTCCTGAGGGAGGCCATTCAGCCCCTTGAGCCTGCTTCTAAGCAAGTGGTGCACACCCCATGCACACCACTAATGCCCCCTCCCTGCCATGTTCATGGGGACGTTAAAGATCCTGCGGTGCTATCGGAACAGAAAAGGTTGTTTCTCTCTCCCGGTGTCCTGGCCAACAATTCCCCCCACAGCTAAATTTGTCCATTCACTTCATGACTGTTTGTTGATGTGTTGCTGTGTGCAAATTGGCTGCTCTGTTTTGCTTCCAAAGTACAGTTACTACACTTTACAGTAAATCCTGTGAAGGGCTTTGAGTTGTCTTGACGATGTGATAAGGCGCAGCATCGAAAGCAAGAATTATTACCATCCGTTAATAATTTTACTCCTCAATTAGCTCTCTGTCTCTGGGGGTCTAATTTGCGGTATTTCTCAACAGGATTCCTGAGTGGAGTGCCTGTGCAGGAACTTGGCTCCGGAATTGTGTGACACCAGCATGGAGAGGAGTTCCGTTGGGGTTGGAGAGACGTATTTCTGGGTACTGGTAGGTGTTTTCTCTTGCCCTGATGACAACAACAACTTTCATTTATATAGCGCCCTTCATGCAGGACAGCATCTCAGAGCACTCGAGGCAAAAGGGTTAGATACGTTGGTGAGGTGATGCCATAGATTGTGGCAGAAGGCAAGGTTCGGTGGGGGAGGGGATGTGGGGCGGACCCCCAGAGTCTGGATAAGGACTGCTGGATTTTAACCAGTCATACCTATGCCTCGGGACATCCTCCTGACGTGAATACAATTTGTTGCTCATGTTGCCGTCGTGAATGCTGCCAAGCCTTCTCTGGCTGGGCCCCGCAGCTACCCATTAGGGTTTGGGCTTGAGGGGTTAACAGGAGTTCGAGTGAGACATCTGATCTACCTGGTTAGATCATATCTCGTCTCAGACGCTGAGGTTGGTTGGAGCGAACTCAATGCGGGTGAACTATGCAAATCAGGATTGGGAAATTGAAGACTGAATAGATAAGGAGCTAATGGCTGTCGGCCAACATGTGGGAAGCCTGAAGCTAATTGAGACTAAAAAAAACACTTGTACTGTGATTCGATCAGCCATCATCTACCCGGTAAATAAACTGGTTGTGATAATCATCATAATAATAATCCACTCATTTGGTACAGCACCTTATCACATCGCTGAGCACGTGAGCGCAGTTGTGACCAGCTAAAGGGTTAACCCAATGTTTGTCTTGTGTAAACACTGTTCCAGTCAGTGGGGTATTAACATGGCACCTGCAGCTGGCGTTAAATGGGACTTGTTGAGTTGAGGTCACATCAGACATGGGAGGCGCAGTGTAGGGGAAGCCCTTCCCTGACCGGAGACAACACCAGCCTCTGAGTGAAGTGTGAGGCCACAGTGTTACAGAAGGTTATTGTGTCTCATTGACTGATTGATTGATTGATTAAAGTTGCTCGCTATCTTCTCTCCACACTGACACATCGGTCAATTCCTGCCAGGCCGAGGCGAGAGGAATTGGAATCGGTCCATTATTGGATCTGAGACAGTTATTGATCAAGTCGGATGTCATTGAGGGCTTCCACGGAATATACTGTAAAGCGGAGTGTATTGTGTGGGCAAAACGAGGCAGTCAATTGCGCACGGCAGCGTCCCACAAACAGTACATCTAACGTGCACCCTCCTCCTCCCCACACAAAGCTATAAAACAGGTTACTGCGCAGTCAACAAATCAATGCTGGAGACTTTGTGGGTCTGTTGAGCCCACAGTAAACAAGAACTCTCATTACACCGCGTCACTGATAATCGCAGGGCATTGATGCGCATTAAAAAGAAATAGGTGCGAATGTGGGCCTTTTGCAATCCGAGGGATAATATTTTAGCGCACTCAAGTTATTTTTCTTTTTTTTAAAAAAAATGCGGAGACTATTGATTTCATTGTCCTCCTGGGCCTTGTTACAGAGGAGAGAAATATCGCAGCGTCAGCTGTTCTGGCGAGCGAGGCCACCAGTGTCCAGGTCTTTGTGCTGTAATGAGATTTTTGGGTGTCCAATTATCCTGTAAATGGGGAATAATGGATGGGTGGGAACGAGTTACAAGACACAGCTCGCAACCGAGGGCTTGTGGTCAGGCCAAAAGCTCCCTCAACTCTTTGCATGAAGCCAGCGAGTGTGCTCCTGCTTTTAACTCGTTGCCTGACTGACTGACTGACTGACTTTGTAAGCATTGGGGGGGAAAATATTATAATAATAATATTCCTCGCATTTGATACGGCTCATTATCACATCTTTGAGACCTCTCAAAGCGCTTCACAGACTTCGAGGACAATAGAAACCGGTTTTACGCCGACGGGCAAAATAGAACCCGAGGGGCGCTGGGCACACGGTGAAAAATGAGCGGTTGTGCAAGACTGTAAAAGTTACACAACTGGGACCCAATAATCCAACCTTAACAGAGACTAACGCTCACCACTCTCTCTCTCTCTCTTTGTGACAGTCAGTTACCGTTGAGTTACGGCCCTGTTTTTCCCCTGTTGTCTAATAGCCACTGGGAGCTCAGCTTATGGTCTATAACAGAATTATGGTCAACAACCATAGAGATTCCTTCTTCCACACAGTCAGTCAGTCAGGAGTTAGTCACACGTGCCCACTGACAGCTCAAGCTTGTGGTTTCAAGCCCCGAGCTCCCCATGCAGGCTGACACTCCAGCGTGGTGCTGGGGGGAGGGGGGTGGTGGGGGGGGGTGCATTGTCAGAGGTGCCGTCGTTCAGATGAGACGTTAAGTCAAGGTCTGTGCCTGTTCCGATCTCGTGACACTGGAAAAGAGACGAGTTTCTCTCCTGGGTCTCGGCCAACAGTCGCTCCCCCTCGCCCCCTTCAAGACGCGTCTCAAGACCCTCCTCTTCAACCGGGCCTTCGGTCACCCTCCTACCCCCGTCCTCCCTGCCCTTCACCCCCTGATTCCCAACCCCCAGCTCAGGTCCAAATCCCTGACTGTCTGGCGCCTTGGGACATCCTCCCAACATGGAAGGCGCTGTGTTAAGTGTCATTTGTTGTTGTTGGAATAAAGAGGTTGTTCACTTTGTGGCTGTTTGTGGGCTGTCGCTGTGTGCAAAATAGCGTGTGTGGTCCCTGCAGTAACAGTCACTACACTTGACCTTAATTACTGAAAGCACCTTGGGCCGTTGTGTGGGGAGGAGTTGGAGAGAGAGAGAAGGGGGGGAGATCAGAAGAAGAAAGAAGCAAAATCTGGCCTTGTGTGTATTAAATCCTGAACCGAAAATGATTCAACAGGAAACAGCCAGAGAGATTTTAACAATTAATTTAACAATTTATTTATGTCATTTTCCTTTATTGTATTGCCTTGGATGTCAGTTACACTATATATATATGTGTATGTGTGTTATGACATGAGGAATAACGACCTAATTACAGGAGCCCAAGCCATGAATTCCTGTTATTTTGCCTATTTATATTTATCTATTTAAAAAAAGGGGGCACGATTGAAGAAATGTGCTGCATTGTCACAAATAAATGCCCACCCCACAAAAAAACACCTTCCTCTCCCAATCCCCCCCCCCACCCCCTCCCACCAAAATAAGAATTAAACATGACGTGTTTTAAACAAAAGTGAAATTCCCCCCAAAAAACTAATGAATTTAAAGAGACTTTTGTTCATGGAAAAAATATATAAAATAGGCTTTTGTGTGTGTGTGTTGGGGGGTGTGCGGGGGGGGGGGCAAAAGATTAAAAATGGCTGTAGGTACAATCTTTCTCTGTGTGTGTTTGACTTCCGCGTCACATGTGGGCGGGAGGAGCTGTTGAGAATTCATTACCGCTGTTCTTTATGGAGTAAAGGAGGGAGGAAGGGGGAGAGAGGGAGAATAAGGCTCCCCTCGTTGGTCTAAGCGTCCTTCCTGTTTCTTTCCTCCCACACAGACAGACAGACAGACAGACACACACACACAGACACACACACACAGACAGACACACAGACAGACAGACACCCACACAGACACACACACAGACACCCACACACACAGACAGACATCCACACACACACACAGACACAACAACAACAAGATTCCATTTACAGAGCGCCTTTCACGTCAGGACGTCCCAAGGCGCTGACAGACACAGACACACAGACAGACAGACACCCACACACACACACACAGACAGACGCCCACACACACACAAATACACCCACACACACACAGACAGACACACACACAGACACACAGACAGACACCCACACACACAGACAGACGCCCACACACACACAAATACAGACACACACACAAACAAATACACCCACACACACACTGACAGACAGACACCCACACAGACAGACAGACACCCACACAGACAGACAGACACCCACACACACGGACAGACAGACACCCACACAGACAGACAGACACCCACACACACGGACAGACAGACACCCACACACACGGACAGACAGACACCCACACACACAGACACAGACAGACGGACACACACAGACACAGACAGACCCACAGACACACGATTCGGGATCGGTTTGTTACACTGTAACGTCTGAGTATTCAGTTTCAGTCGTCGCTGCCGTTGTGATACATTGTATCCACTTCCTCACCCGAGAGAACAACAGTCGGAGAGAGAAACAATGTCTCCAACTGACGGATACACTTCAGATACAAAGTGACCCACAGACTCCGTCTCTCTCTCTCTCACTCACACACACACACACAGCGCAGGGAGGGGGTGGGGGGGGGGGGGGGGGGGTCGGGGGGGACGAGGACAGCAACACACACACACACACACACAGACAGAAAGGATCTGCGTTTTTTTTAAATCTATTTATATTTAAGGAACATATACATATCCGAGAAGAAAGAAAGAAAGGAAGGAGGAAGGGAAGGGAAAGGAAGGAAGGAAGGAAGGAAGGAAGGAAGAGGGGAGGAGGGAAGAAAGAGGACAAGAACCAATGAGCGATGCACCGAGATGTCTCGGTGCTAAACCCAGTGACTGTCTGCCTGACTCGGGGGCTCTTTGGAAGGGTTTTTTTTTAACGATATGTGGCCATTGAAATAAATACACAGACACTCTAACGCACAGAGAGAGAGAGAGAGAGAGGGAAGAGAGAGAGAGCGTGAGAGAGAGAGACAGAGAGAGAGAGAGAGAGAGAAAGAGAGGGGAAAAAAGATCTGGGGGAGAAAAGAGACGACGGAAACGGCTCATATTGCCTTTGTTTTACCCTCCGGACTGAACTAACGACCGCACGAACGTACGCAGGAGATATTTTTCGGGGTGTGTTGTGAATCCTGACCGAGGGCTGACTTTTTTTTTAGGAGATTTTTTTTCCTCCTGTGTTTTGTGTGTGTGTGTGTGTGGTTGGGGGGGGGGCGGGCGGGGGTGGTGGGTGGGTGGGGGGGGGTTTAGGGGGGTGGGGGGGGTGGTGGGGGGTAAAAAAAATATTGCAACCAGTCGAGCAACCAAACCATTACACGCCACCGATCGCGGGGTCAGTGTGTGCGGGAGGAGAAGCCATGT